CATGAACGAGATTCGTTGCGTCGGATATCAGCAGGGGATTTATTATGACGTATCCTCAACCATTATTTGGATAACTCACACCATCTGAATTGTTAGTTGCACCATGGTGCCAGGTGGCTCTCGTTTTCAGCGTCCGTGATCGTTGACGCGCCAGAATGAAAAAAGTAGACCACCTGTTGTCTATGTATGCAACCGTAGAAAAGCAAATCGTCTTCAACAAACTCTTGAGATCCAAAGGGGCCACGATCGTGCGAGAGGGTACCGAAATTCTGATTTCATATGATCTCTAGTAGTGAAAGATTGTCGGGGAAAACCGGTATAGCATTCTAACGTTGAAAATTGCTTAACCATTTACAAGCAATCATTGAGCATACAAAACAAATATCGAGATAACGCCCTCGTGATACAAGTCTTATTAATTATTCCTCAAGTATGAGGCTTGTGTGGATCACATTTTACTCAATCCCGTAGCCGGGCTCGCAAAAAATCCTTAAACCTAAACATGAGACTGATGTCTCTTTCTGGTCTGATTAGGTGCTCGTACACTGCCGATTTGAACGTGAGACAGTTGCCTCATTAGAAATCGTAGTATGCACTGCCATTTCCGAGGTCGACTCTGAGGTAGATGCCTCAATCATTGACCGTGCAGGAATAACATCGAGCCGCGGTAAGCTACACCGAGGGTCTAAGCCTGGAGTTCGTAGAAATATCATTCCCTCACAAGGGAATAGAGGCAGATTAAAAGTTGAGCTCCAAAAGCTGAAAAAGCAAGTGAGTGGCCTCCTTGCAGTAGGTATCCCTACAGGGAAACTTCGAAGAAACCTCCTCCTATTTACCAATGAGTAATCGAATATAACAGAGTCAATTGCTCGTAGGGAAATAAACAGGCGTAGAGTCTGCGACATAATTAGGCTAGCTGGGTCTCTATCAAACATAGCAATTAGGAGAGTGCAACGGGTAAGAAGGTGAAACACCACCTCCGGAAGCACCGCTGGCGGCCTCCAGACCCATACTACTAGAGTTTAATAAACCACTGAATACGAGAGTGCTGCTATCCCGAGCAGACTTAGTGTGGAGCGCCACGAAAGGGAGATCTAAAATCGTCCTCGATGAACCAGAAGTTTTAGGTACCAAATAAGAGATCGCATACTTACATGACAGGTACCGAGAGTATTACGGCTCTGCGAAAGCAACTACCAAAGGTACCACGGATCTTAGGAAACCCAAATATGGTAATAATTGAGGATATATTGGAGGACCTCACATTAGGGATGAATTCTCAAATCGGATCGCAGAAAGCCGACTCAGAACAGCCTATGCTGTCACAGGGACCCGCATCCCTTTCTAAGCTTCCCGAGCTTGAAGAAACGGTAGTCGCAGTAGTTGCCCACCCTTGGAGCACGAGTGCCCTTTGAACGTGCCAAGGGGATGCCAATGAGCATCCCCTGAGCATCCCCCTGCGCCATCCTCTGTGAAACTATAAGCGGACACTCAGGGGGACACTCGAAATGCACAGCACTACCGACCGCATCCATACTCTCCAGTTCCCGAATATACTTAGGCGTAATACTAGCCGCACCTTATTCATCTACTACCTCATTTTCCCTGGAAACTAATGATGGGCTGTTTTCCGACATTGTTTATACATCCCGACTGAAAACGCATCCCAATTTTGACAGTTTCGCAATCCAAAGATCCCTTTTTTATTTCACAATGAAATCAAACAATATTTGGAGATAAATCAAAATACTATTAAAAAGAAATATATTCACATCCAAGGATTCAATCTTCGTCCGACGGTTCAATATTTTCTTCATCGTCATTTGAAATGAAAAGCAGAATCTATCGTTGCAGGCAATGCTAAACCTTTAATTGAAATACACATCCCAAATATATTTTTGAAAATAAGCTCACCTCTGTTAGCCTTGGCAGAAGCAATACTCTCTACTACTTGCAGCCTGGACTTTGGTCTGGATCTCTGAATCCATCTCTGCATCTGTATCTCGGTATCACATAATGTTATGTTGACTTTGGATAGCCCTTTTGTAGTACAGCATCTGTAAACTGGGGTCCAAATAAGCAGCCGAATAGCATTGGCTTACCGATGGTAATTTTGCAAACTTTTGTGTCCGATTAAATTGTAACACATCCCTAAACTCCTGGGTTGTTCCAAGTTTTGGTATTTCTGGTTCATTTTAATGAAATCCGATTGTGACGAAATCTTGGGTAGTGTTAGTGAATCATCTAAATCTACCAATTGCTGTGATTTTATTGAATGTTCATCCAATTGGCTTGAATCAGACGAAAAACGTTTTTGTTTCATGAAAACATAATTAATATTTGAAATAGGCCAGTAGTGTTATGCAAGATTTCTGCTGCAAAGACACTTCTTTCGCATATCATCAGTTACTTCATGCGAATTACAACTGGACATTATATATGTTCATGGGGTATGGTGACGAATACATTTAAAGGCGAGATTCACAGATTATATGAAAAATAATCTTACCGTTGCCTTTTATCGAACATCTGGACACAAACCGTCGCATCCGTTGTAGAAAGTACATTTTTTTCCAATATTGCCTATTAACGACAGGCTTCAGAATATGATTCTGTATACTACCTAAATGCTCAACGGCACTTACTGACAATTCTTTGCATGCGTGCATCATACACTTTTGAGTTTGTTGGGGGAAGGGAAGCTTCTGCTTTAAAACGAGCTTAACTTTCGCTGTCGAGCTTCGAACCAAGGGTACTTTGCTAACCCATTCATTTGGTACTGTCGCCACAGTATTGTCAACCAAGAACTGTACGACGGCGATCATCTGCATGACAATAACAAATGTGGTCAGAACATGTTAAAAAACAACACAACCACTAGCAATTGATCGCACTTTGATTTTCACCTAGTATGTCTCACCGGCATGAACACCCAGTCATCTTCATCCCAGAGCAGAAAACCTTCACACTGTAAATCCTCACTTTTAACAGTGTGATATTGATTTTATACACTGCACTACAGAGATTTCGAAAACACCACGGCGCAGGCGGAATACGGTCGGACTGGGGTAAATTCACGGACCTCCGAGCGCTTCTTAAGGGCCGTACGCGAGCGGTGTTGGATGCGTCGCGAAGAGGCCCGGAGAAGATGAGATGGGCCGCCACGAAGGACGCCCTGATCGCGAGTTTCGACACCCGGGCCGACCGCCAGAGGACGTTGCATAGCTTCGGGACGGCGCAGCTCTGCGTTGGCGTGGACTCCCTGTTGCATGCCGCGGCCATGCGTGCCCTGATGGATCGAGCGCTGCCAACTTTGAACGACGCTGCTCGTTTGGAATCATTCCTGGAGCGTTTTGTGAAGATTCTGCCGGACAATCAGCGAAAGAAGACGTGAATTGTCCAAGCGGGGTGTTTCATGCTAGTATTCACGTTGCCTGAAGCTCTGAAACCTGTAACAGTCACTGAACGATATGGTTGTGTGACGCAAACAGCAGCACACATGCATCTACTCTTTATTTATGTAACGTTTGTCTACTAAAATGTGCTACCTTCCGCTTAGATCTGCTCACAACATTGTAATCATTAATCCGCTATCTTATCAAAATCGACAGTCAAAAGACAGCAAACAAAACCGGCGAACGTAAGTGCATGGTTCAGGATTCTAAGAACTGAACTGAAATCTTGCTCCTATATTTTCACCTTTGATTCCTCTACATCTTTTTTTCCACTGAATCTGTTTTGACAGCATTGCACTCAGTCTAAATCATCATCTCCATCTTATGGCTGTCTGGTTTAAGGAACCCCGTTCGAGCGTTTCCGCTAAATTGTGGCGGAACAACTTGGACTGAAATGTCCTTCCTAAAACCTTGTTTCTTCTCCTTTACTATCTTCCTCTTGACCATCTGCTTCGCTCGTGCTTATGAACTTGCCCGTTGAATTTTCACAAACTTCAATCAGGCTCTCTCGTGCTTGTCTGTTTTGACCTTTGGTTCCTCTACATCTTTACCTCAACGAATTATTTATGTCGCCATAGAGTCCAACCGGAGTCACCAATTTCACTTGCATTTAAATCTGGGTTTAGTAGCCACCTACGAGCATTTGCGCTCAAACGGTGGCCGGGCAACTTGGCCAACAATGTCTTTCGTGAAACCTTGTTCCTTCTCCTTAAGTTTCTTTATCTTGATCACCTGATCCACTTGTGATTATATTCTTGCACGGTGAATATTTCCGAGCTTAAGTAAGTTTCACGCTTCCGCTACAATGTTCACCTTTGCTTACTCCACATCTTCCTCAAGAAATCTTTTTTGACGCCACAGAGCCAACTCAGAATCACTATTTTCATTTCATTTCAGATTGGTTTGAGGAACTCCGTTTGAGCATTTCCGCTCGAATGGTGTCGGTGCTACTTGTGTTTCAATCCCAAAAGACGGTGCTGGTCGAGGATAGTTATTTATTGTCAATAACGTTCGAGATATGGTTAAATGGTCATTCATACAACAAAATATCTCATCCGGAGCAAGGTTGCAGAATTCTCACATGCACACAGGATAGTTGTCTTGAAGTCTTGAAGTGATTCACGGGTTCGAAGCTGTTGCCCAAATATCCCGGGTCCTTGAAAGGTATCTGTGTTTTCTTTTCGCTGATTGGACGACTCACTATTATATGCGCACTTCTGTATTCACCATACCGAACATCAGCAGTTTGCTGCAACAGGTCATGTTGATCTTCGGTCGTTGAAAGAAACCGCTGATCGCATCATTTTGCGCACTGCTCACTTGTGAGCTGTATCTCACAACGCTCCTTCCCCCGGTGGAAGGGATCTTTGCATGTCTTGACTGTTTTTTTTGTGCTCCCGTTTGTGTCTGATTTTCGACGTTGGGCGCCATCATGTCTGACTTTGTGTAATGTGATTCTGGAATTTATTTTGTTGATTTACGGCGGGTGCTGTACATTTCCCCGTGTCTTGTTGCGAGATGGTTCCGATACACACGACGGACTTGGTTTATTCTTGTGAATTTTGTACACGGGATGGTGTTGTTCACCTATGCGGTATAGACCTTTCTATTTAAGAATTAACTTCCTTTAGGCAGTGCCGCTTTTGAATTTTCCAACATGCTGCTTGTACTTTACTTTAAATCCATCCGGAAGCACACTAGCTGTCCGTTTTGTTTGTATCGTAGACTTGCGCATTGTATCCTTCTGCCCTTTTTCAGGTTATTCCGGGCTTCACGTCTTGTCTTTTGAAGTTTGTGGAAGAAATCGTTTTGCGGCCAAATGCCAAGGTTGAGATCCACCGGCAGCTTTGGAATATTTTCATACATCAGTTGAAATGGTTTATGTTTGGTACTGCCCTGTGTGGTTGAGCGGTAGCCAAAAGTAAGGAAGGTAGAGCCGATTCTCAATCCCCTCCTTTCGCTGTCATCCATTCTTTCATTGTTCTGTTAGTTTGTACTGTGAGACCGTTGGTTTTCGGGTGATATCGCATTGTGCGTACCTTTTTGATGCCTAATTTTTGTAAGCGCGCGAAATACATCACTCTCAAAGTACGGGCCTTGATCCGTAAGGATGGCTTGCAGTACACCACGATTCGCCACGATGTGCGCCATCGAAACTCTGCTTATCGTAGCAGCGGTTTGATCCGCGACTTCTACGGCTTTAATCCAGCGCGTGAAGTGCGCCGTCATTACACCGATGTATTGGTGTCCTCTAGGGGGACATCGGAAATGAATTCAGAAGGTCGATGGATCATAATTCATCGAACTCGGATTCCGGTATTGACTGCTTTAGACATCGTGATGGGCATGAGTCTGAAATGAACAGTTGGCATTTCTCACACCCCAGCAGATGGTTTGTTACATTAGTCTGCATATTTGGTCAACAAGCCCGCTGTCGAAGCAAATCGTAGGTTCGAGCGCATCCAGTGTGGGCCAGTTCATGACTTTCTTTGATAAGAATTCGGCGCAGCTATTTTGGACTGACGACCACTGGGCCCTTTCTTCCTGACTGTCGTTTCATTAAGATACCAGCGGCATTTAAATAAAGCTGCCTTCATACGGATATCTATGACTTCGTGTGTGTAGTAGTTTGAACGTTTCGGTATTGCTGGCCTTGTGAGATTGCTTCGATCACCTTGCGGATTTCTTGCTCCTTGCGCTGTTCCTTCACCAATTCGTGCGGGTCTTGTCCCGCTGTCAGCATACTGACATTGAAGGAATCTGCTCCCTCAAAACAAAACCAAATTTCCGCCATAAAGTTTTCGGCACCTGCAAAATGATTGATTGTGAAGTCATACTTTTGAAGGCAAAGAACCCATCGGGATAGCTTTCCTCTCGGGTCCTTGGCGGTTTTAATCCACTCCAGCGGCTTGTGGTCCGTTTCTATATGGAATATGTGACCCAGAAGGTATGGTCGTAACTTATCTGCGGCCCAACCGATAGCAAGACATTCTTTTTCCGTGGTTGAATATTTCTTTCCAGGTAAAATGAGGACCCTGCTAGCGTATTCAACCACTCCACTTGCTTGTTTGAGGGTGGCCCCACTCCAACTTCACTGGCATCCGTTACCACCATGAAGCGCTCGCCAATCACCGGCAACTTCAGCGTCAGGTGTTGTTCGGTCATGGCTTTTGGAATTCATTGAAAGCTTTCTGGACCCCTGGTGAAGTGACGGTCTTTCTTGAGCAAGGCATATAACGGTTCAGCGATATTGGTAAAGTTTTTGACGAACCAGCTATAGTATGCGGCACAGCCCAGAAACCGTCTTGATGTACTTTTCGATGTTAGGCATGCAAACTCCTTTAACCTGAGGATCTTCTCAGGAAGTGTCCTCACTTTTCCGTTTCTAAACTTGTGCTCAAGTAAAGTCACTGTCGGCTTCTCAATTGGGGTCTTCGATCCAGTAATCTGAAGGCCAAATTTTTGGATTCGTTTCGGGACAGTTTCCAAGTGGAATGTGTGTTCGNACCGTAGACAACAATATCGTCACGATACACCACCACGTTGGGGACACCATCGACTAACTTCAGCATGAAGAAACGGAAGGCAAATGGTGCTCCTGATAATCCGAATAGCATTCGTTTGAACTGATATTATTTATTGCGGACTGTGAACGCCGTTTTCTCTCGATTAGTTTTCTTTATTAATAATTGCCAATATCCCGATCGTAGGTCCACAACTGAGAACACTTTCGCGCTTTGCAGTTCGTCAAACATTTCTGCCACAGTTGGGATTGAAACTGGTTTGTTTATAGTCACAGTGTTTGCTTGGTGGAAATC